AAAAAAAAAAAAAAAGTTGTGTGGTTCTGAGATGTTCCAGCTAAGTCTCTGAGGAGCTGGCCAAGTGCCAGTTCCTTCTATTTTGGCACACAGGGGAGGGCTGTGCACATCAACAGCCTCCGAATGGGTGTGCCCATTGGCCAGAAGGCCTGTACCCATCCAGGCCCGGCAGGGCTGGGTCAGGACCCTGCTAATCTCCCCCAGCCAGGAGGCGCCCACCCACTGCGACTTCTAGACACCAAGCCCGCCCCCAAGTCTCTCATCTCAGCCGTCACGGATACCCCAAGCAGCTGGGAGAACCCAATTCCGTGACTCATCATTTCCTCCCGCCACTTCCAGGAAGTCCCCAACCAGCCTGGAGACACTGAATCAGCAGGCCCCAAAGGCAACCCAGGGGTCTGCCCTCCTCAAAGCTGGGAGAGCCATTCTTGGGTGGGGAGCAGAGATCAGAAGAAAAAGAGTCTGCTCTCTTTCTAACTGGCCCCCTTCTGTGCAGCCTCATGTGGGTTTGGCGGGGTGGAGGGAAAGCCCAGACAGGCTCCCCAGACAGGAGGAAATAGAACTGAAAGTCTCGGAGGTGGCAGGGTTTAGCAGGAACATATAAAAGGGAAGCTGCGGGAAGGGAGGCTGAGAAAAAAACCTGGTCATGTCCCGGTGACACGTAGTGTGGGGAGCCCTGGGGCTGGAGGTCAGTCAGATCTCCTCTTGATCCCCCCTCGGACTCCTCACCCAGGGGTTACAAGCCGTCTGACCCTGGACTCAAATCTTGATCCAGAAGCCCCATCCTGAGGCCTTTAGCAGCCCCCAAATCCCCTTCCAAGCCCCCCCTCACGCCCAGGATCCTCTCCCCTCCCAGGAGCCCCTCCTATGTCCCCTCCCTCCCCAAACTCCCCCAAGCATTACTCCTTCTTCCCTCTATAAGACTTCCTCGCCAATCACCTTCTTGTAGGGTCCCCGCTAATGTCCCCGGGCGCCCACATGAGAAGCCTCCTTTCCCAGGGCTCTGTCCTCACCCGCTGTACTCTGACCCTCAGAGGGCCACGATCACCATCCCTCACCACCCCGTCCTGTCTTCCTCAGGCCCCGGGGATGCCCTCTCCGATTCACGTGGCCACTCCCGCCATCCCTAACACGCGTCCCCTCCCCACGCGGCTGAGGCACCCCTTCCCCCCCCCTCCCCCACCGACTCCACCGGGCGGGCGGGGTCTGACCTCACAAGATCCAGGAACGAATCCAGGACTTCCTTGCTGGGGGCCTCTTCCGCGGCGCCCGAGGTCCCGACCGAGGCGTTGATGGCGGCGAAGGCGGCGCCCGGCTGCAGGGCCAGCGCCAAGCCCACGCCGAGCGCGGACGCCAGCAGCGTGGTGACCAGGAAAAAGAGCAGCGCCCAGGCGCCCAGGCGGCCGAGCGCGCTCGAGTCCAGGCTGGCGGCGCCGCCGATCAAGCTGCACACCACCAGCGGCAAGATGATCATCTTCAGCAGGCGCAGCAGCAGCTCGCCGGGGAAGGCGAAGGCAGCCAGGCGCGCGGGGCCCAGAGCTAGCGCGCCGCCGGCCCCCGAGACCCCCAGACCCAGCGCCACGCCTGCCACGACGGCCACCACGGTCAGCAGCACGAGCAGGTTGGCGCGAAGGCAGCGGCGCACCCGGTCCCGGGAACCGCCGCATCCGCCTCCTGTTGCGCCGGGGTCCTCCATAGGGACCAACGTCGGGGCACCGTTCGCGGTGGGCTCAGCCTTGGGGTCTCCCCGAGGCGGATCGGCCACCATGATGAACGCCCCGGAGTTGCTTAGCGCCTGGAAGCTGGGCGCGCTTGGGTCTCCTTCCCGGGACGCCGACGTTCCTTAGAACGGAGAGTTTTGTAACACAGCCTGGAGGCTGGAACTTTGGAAGGTTCCCCGGAGTTGGGAATTCACAGCGCCTTGGTTCCTGGGGTGTCTGAGATCCCCAAGCTGGACGCTGAGGCTCCTCTGCTCTCCCAGGTGGTGTCCGGCGCCGGAAATCTGGGAGCACTTGGGTTTCTCGGCCCCAGGGATGGGAATACAGGAGTTTATCAGGCTGGGACCTGAGGTCCTTGGCTCTGGAAGGCTGAAGGCGTCCAAGCGGCAGAGTCCTCAAGAGGTCAGGTCCTGGTAGCGCAGATCCGGGAGGCAGGTATCCGGGGTGCCGGGGTCCTGGAAACCGAGGCTGGGGAGCCTGAATCCAGGGGGCGGGAGACAGAGATCCGGGAAGAGGGGAGCCAGGCTTTTGAGTCCAGGAGAGGAGATCCAGGCCCCTAGGAAGCGGAAGGCGGGGGTCCGGGACCCTAGGAGGTAACTGCGGCGGGTCCGGGGGGAAAGCTCGCGGGCGCGCCGCGTGGCTCTGAGCCCACTCAGCGGAAGCTTCCAGGATTAACGGCAGGGGCGAGGCTTGAGAAGGCGGGGAGCGAACCGCGCGCGGGCGCCGATTGGCTGAGGCGCGTTCGGAGCCCTCCTGCGAGCGAGAGGTGGGGCCGAGGCCAGAGTCTGGCCAAGTCACCCATAGAAGGCCGACTAACCAAGTCTAGCAATATCGAGGGGCGGGGGCACCGGAGGGGCGGGGGCGGGGCCCGGTTGGGGGCGGGACGTCGAAGGGAAACCTTTTTTCCCGCCAAAGGCATCCGGACGTGGGTGGGGGCCGGTAACCCACAACTGTTCTCCCGCTTGAGGGTCTCTAGAAAGAGCAAGTGAGCCGCAGGTGGCTCAACCCAGCCTGCAGTGTCTCCGCCCTGAGTTCGGTATTTTGTCGCCTCTCGGAACTCACATTCCTTGAATGTAAAGTACAGATTATTAAAACTCATCCCACACAGGATTGGTGTAACATTTAAATTAGATGGAGTTGGGGCACCTGGGTGGCTCAGTCGTTAAGCGTCTGCATTCGGCTCAGGTCATGATCCCAGGGTCCTGGGATCGAGCCCC